AGTAGGTGAATAGATAAGCTGTGGCACAATAGAATATTATTCAGCAGTAATGAGAAATGGATTATCAAGCCACCAAAAGTCATGGAAGAATCTTAAATATATGTTATTAAGTGAAAGAAAGCAGTCTGAAAAGGCTACATACTGTATGATTTCTAAATAACATTCTGGAATAGGTAAAACTATGGAGACAGTAAAAAAAAAAAAAAAAATCAGTGGTTGCCAGGGGTTACAGGAGAGGGAGGTATGAATAGGTGGTGCACAGAGGATTTTTAGGGCAACGAAACTACTCTGTAAGATACTATAATTGTGGATACATGTCATTACACACTTGTCAGAATCCATAGAATATACACACCAAGAGTGAACCCTAATGTAAACTATGGACTTGGTTGATGATGTGTCAATGTAGGTTTATTTGTTTTGTTTTGTTCTGAGTCAAAGTCTTACTCTGCTGCCCAGGCTGGAGTGCACTGGCATGCTCACGGCCACCGCAGCCTCAACCTGCTGGGCTCAGGTGATCCTTCTGCTTCAGGCTACCAAGTAGCTGGAACTACAGGCGTGCACCACCACATCCAGCTACTTTTTTGATTTATTGTAGAGAGTAGGTCTTGTCATATTGTCCAGACTGGGGCTCGAACCCGTGGGCTTAGGCAATCTTCTCACCTCCACCTCCCAAAGTGCTGGGATTACAGGCATGAGCCACTGCGCCTGACTGGTTTATTGATTGTAACAAATGTACCACTCTGCTGGTAGATGTTGATAGTGAGGGAGGCTGTGCATGTGTGGAAGCAGGAGGCATATGGGAAATCTCTGTACTTTCCCCTCAGTTTTGCTGTGGACTTAAAACTGATTGTAAAATAAAGTCTTTCTCTATTGCCCAGGCTGGAGTACAGTGGCACAAGCACAGCTCACTGCAGCCTCCAACTCCTGAACTCAAGTAATCCTTCTGCCTCAGCCTCCCGAGTAACTGGGACTACAGGTGTGCACCACCATGCCTGACTAATTTTTTTTATTTTTTGTAGAGATGAGGTCTCACTACGTTGCCTAGGCTGGTCTCGGACTCCCGGGCTAAGGTGATCCTCCCACCTCCACCTCCCAAAGTGCTGGGATTACAGGCATGAGCCACTGTACCAGCCAAGGGAGAAGTTTAAAAACCCTTTCCTCCCCAGTCTAATGGGGCTGGTTCTGCATGACATGGGAATCTTCTAACCGTTTGGCTTATCTTTCTGTAGATTCACCCATATTGTCCCTTGCTGCCTCCAGACCCATTACTGGATTCAGATTCCTGTATGTCCCAAGGCAAGTAAAGTCATGTCTATGAGGAGAAAGCACATATACAAACACACAAAAAATGATGAGATGTAGCTAATTTGGCCAGGCACGGTGACTCAAGTCTGTAATCCCAGCACTTTGGGAGGCCGAGGCGAGTGGATTGCCTGAGCCCGCGGGTTCGAGACCCACCCGGGCAACGTGGAAAGACCTTTTCTCTACAATAAATAAAAAACTAGCCGGGCATGGTAGCGCGCACCTGTAGTTCCGGCTCCTTGGAAGGCTGAGGCGGAAGGATCGCCAGAGCCCAGCAGGTCGAGGCTGCGGTGGCCGTGAGCATGCCACTGCACTCCAGTCTGGGTGACAAAGTGATACTCCAACTTAAAACAAACAAAAAATGAGCCATATGAAGAAACTCTATATGGGTGAGGTACATCCCACTTTTGTGAAAATATTACAAATCAAACCTCCTTTTCTCAGTTTATTTAAGATGCTTTTGTTGCGAGTGGAGCTCCAGAGTGAAGCCTCCTGTGTGTGTGAGATAATAACACCTCGTAACTCATTACAGCTGGGCACTCTTTACATAAACTAGTGCTGAGCCAGGCAAGCATTTGCTAATGAATTTCTTTTTAATGAAGTGAAGTATACCATACACCAAAATAAACATTATTGTGTATACCTAAAAAAATATATAGAACTCATAGACATAGAGAGTAGAATGATGGTTACCAGAATAGAAGGGGGGTGATGCGGAAAGGGGAGATGTTGGTCAATGGGTACAAAGCTACAGTTAGATAGGAGGAATAAATTCTGGTGTTCTGTTGCACAGCACAGTGATTGTAATTAACAATAATGTAGGCCATTCTAAGCTATGGTGTGGCCATGTGCTGTTTGTGCTATGGCCAGGCCATGTTTCTTGGCTTTGGTCCCCTTCTCTACCTTGGGGAAGTTAATCTCTTCTCTCTCTCTCTTTCTAATATAGTTTTTAAATAAACTGTACTTTCCAATCTAAAAAAACCAATAATTTATATTTCAAAATTGCTAAAAGAGAGGATTTTAAATGTTCTTCAAACAAATAAACAATGGATGAATATATTAATTAGCCTGATTTGATTATTCCACAATGTATACACATATAAAAATATCACATTGTACCTCATAAATATATACAATTATTATCTGTCAATTAAAAAGAAAATAAAACAGTTCTTTAAAAGCCACACAAAAGCACAATTGCAAATGATGCTGTGTAACTGTGAGGCGCTGGCAGAAAGACGAACTCAGTGTGCAATAATATTAAACAAGACGAGTGTTTTTAAAACTTAAAAACATAGCTACGGGGCAACCCCTTTGGGTCCCCTCCCACTGTGGGAACTTCTCGGTCCTCTCAATAAATCCCACTTTCTCACTTAAAAAAAAAATAGCTACAATAGTTTTAGGAATATGCAATATGCAAAGATGAAAATTGTGACATCATACAGATAAAATGTGGGAAGGGTGGAGTTATTTTATATGATCAGGTTTAAGTTATCAGCTAAAACTAGCCTGTTATATCTATAAGATGTCTTGTGTAAGTCTTATGGTAACCACAAAGCAAAAACCTATAGTAGATACACAAATAATAAAAAGTGAGGAATCAAAGCATGCTATTAGAGAAAATAATCTAATCACAAATAAAGATCTACAAAATGACCAGAAAACAATGAACAAAATGGCAGTGGAAGTCCTTATCTATTAATAATTACATTGAATGTAAGTCAAATAAATTATCTAATCAAAAGGCACAGAGTGACTAAATGAATCATTAAAAAAAAAAAGACCCAACTATATGCTGCCTACAAGAGACTCACTTCACCTTTAAGAATACACATAGCCGGGCTCAGTGGCTCAGCCTGTAATCCCGCGCCTTTGGGAGGCTGAGGTGAGTGAATTGCCTGAGCCCGCGGGTTCGAGGCCCGCCTGGGCAGCGAGACCTCATCTCTACAATCAATCAAAAAATCAGCCGGGCGTGGTAGCGCGCACCTGTAATTCCGGCTACTCGGAAGGCTGAGGCGGAAGGATCGCTGGAGCCCAGAGCGTCGAGGCTACGGTGGCC